TCCAGGGTCAGTGGGTGAGGTGTGGTGGAAGAGGACAGCTTTCCATGAGCCATAAAGTAGCAGAGTTTTCTTTCCTGGTGTGAATTATTCAGAACACGAGTCTTTCAAGATAACCAGCCTATTAAAAGAATTCCAGCTGAAAACTTTTGGAAAAACTGCACATAGTGTCTTAAAAGATCCGTAGTGCACATCAGAATCTTAAGGCTGTGAGAACGATCCATTTTGCCTTTATTCAGTCAACGGTTATCAAACTTTTGATAGCAGAGTCTTTTCCCAGTAGTGTCTATTACATGCAGCATAACTACCCTGTGTCGATCGTGCTGTGCCATTTTCTGCTGGAGGACAGCACGGTGAGTGCCTCATGAGGAAGTGAGTAGCCAGCCCAGGGTGAGAAGAGTAGAGGGACAGTTTGGAGAGCTGCACAGAGATTCTGAGGACAGCTGGCTCAGAATCCTAAATGCCAGGCCGAGGAGGGTGGATGTGACCAGAGCAGCGTGTGCTCCATGAGCGCCAGCAAGCGAGGCAGTGGGGTGAGACTGTGCACAGAGTCTACCCGGGAAGCGCGGCCAGGAGACCCGGCGTGGTTGTGGAGCTGTGAAAATGACATTTTTGCAATAGTGGAAGGTTCCCTGTTTGCTGAGGGAGGGGCAAGCCTTGGGGGAGGCAGGGCTTCTAAAATTTCTAAAATTGCGGGTCACAGGGCGGATGGCCCAGGTGCTGATGTGGTAAGAGGCAAGCAGTGGAAAGTCCCGGGGGTGGTGTGGAGGAGGAACCCCAGGTCCGGGTGAGGAGAGTTGGGCACCCAGCTCCTGTCCCCTGAGCTGGCTCCGAGCTGAGCCTGTGACCCGCCTGTGGGTCAGACTTCGTAATTCCAATTCACAACCAGGGAACTGAGAGCCAACGGGTGCCCAGGACACATAACTCAGAAGTGGTAAAGGATCTACGCTGGTTTTATGTGAAAAACGAAAGAACAGTTGAATGTTCATATAACCCCAAAAGATTTTTATGGAAAAATGTGTGGAAATGTGTGTGTCTATAGACAGGTACATTGTAGAGGAGGATTTGCCCGTATAACCAGTCAAAATGGTCACAGAACCCGAGAGAGCAGAATTCAGTACAAACACTCTTGACTGCAGGAATGAGCCTCCCGTGTGTCTTCAGAGGGAAACGCTTCTTTACTTAGATACTATCTCAGTTTTCAGGCTGTTCACTCTGTTATAACAGAATACCATAACCTAGGTGGCTTAAACAATGGAAATTTATTTCTCATTGCTCTGGAGGTTGGAAGTCCACGATCAGGGTGCCAGCATGGTGGGGTTCTGCTGAGGGCTTTCCTCTGGTCACAGACACCTGCCTTCCTGTTGTGTCTGCGTGTGGTGGAAAGGGGGAGGAGCTCCTAGGGCATCTTTTATCAGGGCACTAGTCCCATTCATGAGGACTCTACCCTCATGACCTAATCACCTCCCAAAGGCCCCACGTCCTGATACCATCTCATTGGGGGTTAGGATTTCAACATATGAACTCTGGAGGGGCACAACATTCAGACCATAGCAGATACTCAATACATGCTTGTTGAATGAATGATCAAAGAAACAATTTAAACTTTAAACATCAGCAGCCTGCTATTTCTAGCTTTCTGACATGACGGAGGACAATTCCCTCTGGTGCATTTTCCGCCCAGCATCTCCCGAGCCAGGTGACCTGAGCAAGAGGGAGACCCTGTGCTGCAGTGGCTGCCGTTGGAGGTGCTGGGCCATGCAAGTGGATAGTCTGAGTGGCGGGCGATCGGCACAGGCCTCTGAGCTGCCAACTGGTGAGTCTGGGGTGAGCAGAGAGGGGTCGGCATTGCCATGCAAAGAAGGGAGCTGGTCAGGAGCAGGTGAGCAAGAGTCCTGGAAGGAAACCAGGCAGGAACAGCGAGAGTGGGGAGGATGGCCGGGAGAGGGTGGTTTCCAGACAGAAGTGCGTTGAGTGCGGGAAGGTGGCAAGAAATGCACCATGTGCAGCCCGATGCACTGCTTTCCTGTGACAGTAAGTTGGGGAAGCAGGGAGTCCTGCTTCTACACCTTAAATCTCAGCTTTTCCATGAACTAGCTTTGCCCTATGAAAATAGTCCACTCAGGGGCTCTCAAAGAATGAGGGGTGTTATACAAAAAGGACCGCAGTGGGCTCTCCCAGGCCAGCGCTTACCTTGCTCATTCCATCTGTCACCACCACTACTTCCACTGTCTGTTCTTCAGGGTTCCTAATTATTGTCCCCAGAGCACCCATGGGTAGACTCTGCTGGGACTGCTCTGAACCCTTGGAATTGATGTATCAATTTCTTTGACTATAGCCATGTAAATTAACTTCAGGAAATTTGAGGGGGGAAAAGGAATTTGTCAGGAGACCATGGAATGGCTCAGAGTCGAAAGCAGAGCCATCTAGTCGGTGGAGGTTTTGGAAGGGACGACACTCTGGCCTGGGCAGCAGCCCCTGGGACCCTTT